AAAATTGGCCCCATAATGCGCCTAAAGCTTTAAAAAAAAGTGAGAAACCCTCATAGAACCTAAATAGGACGAAAAAAAATTTCACATATATTTGAAAATATAAATTTTAAAACAACTCAAAATGACCAGATCTCATTAAAAACCCGAAAAACATAACCAGCTAAAAAGCAATATTTCAAGACATGTTTCGTTTAAAACATAACATAAACACACGAAAAACTATGTAAAAAGCGTCAGAAAAATCGGAGTTAATTGACAACTCTGCCCCGTCTAAATACAGCCTATCAAAACGATTCCAAGCCTCCAAACCGAGCACGACTCTCAAAAACGGTTCGAAACCCGTAAAAATGATCTATATCAACTTATACTACATGTTCTACGAGTTATAACAACCATGATTGACTCTAAACTAGCCCAATTAATATCCAAAAGGCATCAGAAATCCCTGGAGCTTTGAAAATCGACTGGATTTGGCCTAAAAACTCTCGGAACCCGTAAAAATCTGCCCAGCCAAGGAACCGCAAGGAAAACCCCCTACAAGAAAAAGGAAAAAAAATCCATCCCGCAAGGATCTGAGAACACTTTTTGGCTCTAAACCGCTTAAATAGCACAATAATTCTGTAAAACGTTAGACAATACGGGGTAGGCTACAGGCTACAAAATGTTCTGAACCGCCAAATCTAAAGCAACTTTTAAAGCAAGTTTAAATTTTAAAAGCAATTTTAAAAGCAAAAGCAGGCGCCAAAACCCTCTGAAACCCCCGTGTAAAAATGGAAAGTCACCTAAGCTCCGGTTTCAAAAATTAATTCATGTTTTCGAGAGGACAACACTGGAAAACAAACCCTGTAAAGCACTCAACAACTCCAAAGTATAAAAACGGGGGAAACCCCTAGAACCACTAGAACTGAAACACTAAAATAAAATGTTACATATTTCGGAGAAACTTGAGGCTTAAGATAGTTTAAATCCATTTAAATGACCAAAAACGGCGTTTGGCCTAAAAACTTTTCGGAACCTGTGAAAACCCTGGCCAGCCTCCTAACCTTATTGAGAACCCAGAAGCAAAAGCTAGAGCAAAAGAGAGAGCTAAAGCTAAAGCAAAAGCTAAAAGCTATCTTTCAAGGGGGTTGAGGCCACTCCTTGGCTTTAAATTTTAAACAAACGTGAAAACTATGTAAAAAGCATCAGAAATTGCTGTGCTATTGAAAACGCTACACGAACTTGCCCAAAAAGTATTCAAAACCAGCAAAACCAACAAGCAAAACCAGCTGATCGCAGGAATCTACTGTCAGAAAACGGCTGCGAAAAAAAAACAAAAATGTAGAACTAAAATACCAAGACAAAATTTGAAGCACTTCTGACAAGGTTTAGGCTTAAAATAGATTAAATGCCTTTTAAAAGGCATGCGAAGTACTGGGGACATCAAAACTCGACACAAATTGGCCAAAAACCCTCCGAATTTTGTGGAAAATCGCCAAAGGCCACCACCGAAATGGAATCGCCTAAATCAAAGAAATCCGAGGTTAAAAATGCCGAAAATTCCGGGGGCTTTTACTTTTAACAATATTCTTAGCTTTAAAATGGCTTAACTAGGTTTCAAAAGCGTCAGAAATTCCGAAGGATTGCGAAGTTATTAAAATCCGCCAAAAACTATCCTAATTTCGTAAACACCCGCCACAGAAAAGAGCTCGTCTAAATAAGCTAAACCCCATCAGAAAACCCAAAAATTCCGAGGGAATGCTAATCTCTACTCAAAAAAACCCCCTCAAAAGATCCCCCGAATAAAGCTTTAAAAGGGGTTAAGATGTACCCCTCATCAGCGATTGAAGGGCTCAACTAACAGGGTAGATCCCATTAAAAAAACCCTAAAAACCCACATAACGATCCCCGCGAAAATAACACAGAACTAAAATACTAAAACAAAATTTGAAATACTTCTGAAAAAGTTTAGCTTTAAAAATAGCTTAAATGCATTTTAAAAGGCATCAGAAATACTGGGGAAATAAAACTCTACTCAACTTGGCCAAAAACTATCCCAGTTTTGGAAAAGCCGCTAAAAGCCCGCCACAGAAAAGAGCTCGTCTAAATAGGCTAAACCCCCATCAGAAAAGTCAGAAATTCCCGAAAAATGAAAATCTCGACTCAAAACAGCTCAAAAACCGTCAAAAAGTCCCTGAGAAAAGCTTTCAAAAGCTTAAAAAGTACCCCTCGTCGGCGACGTCTTCCGTCTCGATGTCGAACTGCCAGCGCTCGAGCACGTCCTTCGTGCGAACCTCTTGAATGACGACCACCAGCTTCTTCAGCAGCTTCTTTGCCAGGAAATCTGAAAAAATGCGAATGAGCCGCTCCAAGAATAGGCTTTTACCTTCGACCTGCTTGAAGAGCGGCTCCAGGAACTCGAGTAGTTTCGGGTCGGCGGTGACGTAGAGGGGCAGGTTGTACTTCTTCTCCCTCTTGAACGAGTCGGCCGGGTAGATGCCGCGCTGGTACAGGATGCTGTTGATGCCGTAATCTGAAAAGGAAAGGATTTAAAAGGCGCAAAAACGTAGAAAAACGTTTCTACATTGATTTTCTTATTTCTACACGTAAAAAACCCCAAATTTTTGGGAAAAATACAAAAATATAGATTCTTAAAACAAAAAACCAAACTTGGGGCCTAGTTTGCAAAGTTTTCTAAAGTTTTCTCGCGTAAAATCAAGCCCAAATATAATCAAAAACACTATCAAAACCGTGCTATCACATCATTAGGCATATTTGAACATGTAGGAGCCCGATAATGCCAAAGTACCAACATTTTTCAGAAAGAGGCCGAGAGAAACTCAAAATAGCGCCAAAAAAACTCACTAAAGAACTCCTGTACCAGGGTCGCCGAGCCCTTCAGCGAGATCGTGCCGCGTGTCTTCGTGTCCGTCATTTTGTAGCTACCCCTGGAAATGAATAATTGCAACGGTTCAGAGCCGGAAAAAAGAAGAAAGAAGACACCATAAAGATGATTGCATTATTACTGAACAATTCTAGCCTTCGGAATCGAGAAAAGAAACAAAAGCGGCATCCTGCAAATAAAAGCGGGGCGAGAAAGGCAGGAAAAGCCTGAGGAAAAGGTAACAAATATCGTTTCATATGATGCAATTAAAAGCTCTCAAAGAATTTATGGTCCAAAACCGCATGAAGCTATTGAGGTTGGGAGGGAGGGCATGGCATCCTAAGCTGGTCTCCAAGTCCAAGCTAACCAAGCCTAGACGCAGCCCCAACACGGCATTCCACGGAGGCACAGATGGGACCCCCCGGGGCCGCGGCGCAAACGGTTAGCGCCGATCCCAAATCTCAAACAGAGGGTCCGGGTTCGACCCCCTGACCAACGTGCAACTCCTATTTCTCCCCAAAACCTTTGCCAAGCTTTTGCGTTTTGCTTAAAAACTGTGCTCCAGCCATTGAAAACTGCTAAAACAATAAGGATCTGGAAAAATTAACCCGATCAAAAAGAAACGGTTGATCCACTGGCGTACATTTTCCCAAAACAGTCACTTGGAGCCATTTTAAGCGTCGATTTCACGCACTGGGGGGTAATCGACCTTGATTTTACCAAATCTAGGCTCAGATTTTAGCGACAATGCTTGGTTTCTGCGCTATTTAAAACCGCACAAAATCCTGAACTGAACTTCAAAAGACCATCACAAAAAAGTACCAGAATAGATTTTCGATAGTTAGGTCTCAAAATCTGCGCCTTGGCGTCTAGTGTATTTAAATCTAATTGAGTTTCTAATTTTTCTATTACATTTCGAGAAAAATCCAGTTTGGTCCAAAAGTTTGTTCATTTTCGAACAAAAACGTAGCGAGCGCGCTGTCCCCTTGTGCAAGGGAGCCTGCCGTAGCCCAAAAGCTATCCGTGCCTGCCTGTTAAAGCCTGGAATGGCGTGCCAACGAGGTCTAGGCCAAGCCTAAGCTCAGCTAAATCGAAACCTAAACCGGTCTCCAAGTCTGCGCTAACCAAGCCAGGAGCAGCCGAAGCCAAGCCTAGACCTAAGCGCAAGCGATGTATAGTAGGCCAAGCCTAAGCTAGGCCTAGACAAGCCTTATTCTAGCCAAAACGAAACCCAAGCCAAGTAAGCTGATAAAATACCTACGCTAAATTCATACAAGATCTAAGCCAAACCCAAACCTAAGCATACGCCTATTCAAGCCATAACAGCAACTTCGTAGTATAAAATAAATGAACATCTGGGTAAAAGTCGTCCATGGCGCTTCAAAGTCAATAGCTTTACAAAAATTGGCTCCCCGACACTTGCGGCGCGGACACTTGCGGCCGACACTTGCGGCGCGGTCATTTGCGGCGCGACACTTGCGGCGCGACACTTGCGCCCGAGACTTGCGGCGCAGCATTCATTATTTTTAAATGTTGTAAATTTAGCATTTCTCTACGGATTTTGTTTGTAATTGTTGGATTTGTGTTCAAAATTAGCAATTTAACCGACCCGCAGTCGGAACGCCCCTCAGGGCATCAGGCAAGTTGGGCCGTCGCTTCGGATGGGCTGCTGCTCCACTCTTCGAAATCGGGGCGCCTGGCTGCTACACGCGCCTCGGGCGCCCTGATTTAGAAACCCTGTACGAGCTCGCACTCATCCGAAGCGACTACAGGCCGCCCCGGGTGGCACGAAGCCTTTTTCTAGTCGCAGAGCGGAGGAAGTAGCGGGCCACTTTCCCTCCAAATTGAGTGACTTCGGTTGCAAACCCGACTTTTGATAATTTTTTAATACACCACTAAATTAGAACCCCAATTTCCGCCGTAAGCCTCAATTTGCCGATCAAAAAAAAAGCGTGAGAACTAGAAACGTAGACAAATGGAGGGAATGCAGATCAAAAAGACACCCAGGATGACAAAAAGACAAGAAAGAGGGGGAAAAGCAAGTACAATCAAAACGAGAGAATGACCATGATGATGTGAGCAATTTGAAATATCCTATCGTTTTCGCGCGGGTCTTCTTCTCGCCTTCTCCTCTTCATTTCTTCTGATTTTTGATGAGCTGCGCGACGTATTTGAATCGTTTGATGCAGTCCTTCTTCGTGCGGCCCGGCACCTCGGTGGCTACCTGAAAAAAACGCATTAAAAACGCTACATTTCAGTTAAAATTAAATAATCCCGAAAATCCTGTTAAAAATATCAATTAAAAATATAAATATAAAAAATCAAAATGAAAAATTAAAATAATCCCGAAAATCCTATTGAAATTAAAAAAAATGCTATTTTACGGAAAATCCCCCGGGCCAGCTAGCAAACACCATTAGGGAGACGAAGATTAGGAAAATTTCAGCTCCAGAGCAGAGGGCAGCCTAGCAGAGATCATTGGGGAAGGCAGGCCTTCATGGCAACGAGCAGGGAAGACCAGGGAAATCTTCAAACCTGAATACGGGGTGTCCCTGGTTCCTGCTTCTCCTTCCAGTCGCTCAACGCACGGGCCAGCGGCGTCCCGACTAGCTCACAGTACCAACAGGCACGATCTAAAAATTAATTAATTAGAATTATCGAAGAGAAGAAAAAAACTCTCAAGACTTCCAAAATATGAGTGTAGGCGTCGATTTCTGCTTCGCCGAACCCGCTATAAAGAGATATTTTGCAATAAACTTTTGGCCTACACGTCGTCGGTGTAGACTGCCAGATCCACACATCCCTTTGTTTGCTGACAACAAGGCTTGTTGGCCGATCGAGCCCAGGGCCTAGTATTTATAAATTAAATAAATCTGGGTACTCGGCTGTTAGCGGGGGGTTCCGAATTTTTGTCGTTCGACAGCAACCTGTGGTAGCATAAAAATGTATATTTAGCGTGTTTTCGTAGTTTTATTTTGGACGAAAAATCCATTTTTTTTAACTTAAAAACACCTTAGAAAAACTCGAGTTTTAGAAATGTTGCCCCCCTCTGCTAATGCGAAAAAACCCAAATTTGTATAACTCGTACTGGAGGTTGCAGTGGCCATTCCGAGCAGCAAGAACACCATCAGCATTCCAATGATGTTTGTGGCGACGGGGGCAGCGGCCCGTTTGGCGCCTCCTAAATTATCATAATTTGCATCCAAGCTAAATAATACGGGTTCTGCCAGGTGCTTGCTGGCCCTTCCAATCTGTGACTGCACGGGCGAGCGGCGTGGCGACGATCTGACAGTACCAGCAAGCGCGGCCTAAAAATTAACTTTATGCATTATCGAAGAGCAATACCGCGCAACACCTCAAGAATACGCGTGTACGCGTCCAACTCGGCCTCGGCAAAACCGCTATAAAGAGATATTTTGCAATAAACTTTTGGCCTACATGTCGTCAACGTAGACGGCCAAATCAGCACATCCCTTCATTCGCTGGCAAGACGGATTAGCCGATCTTGCCCATGGCCTAGGATTTATAAATTAAATAAATCTGGGTACTCGGCTGTTAGCGGGGGGGGGATCCGAATTTGTTCCACATCAACCTACCTGTGGTAACATAAAAATGTATATTTAGCGCGTTTTCGTAGTTTTTGAATGCTAGAAAGTTGTAAATCTATTTTTTTTTGCGTTTTTCGCTCATTCTTCAAACATTTTTCGCAATTGATCAAAAATTTTCGAAATCATATTCTAATCAAAAAAAAAACGCTGTAAAGCGTCTTAGAAATGGTTCTTATTTTGTGGGGCGGTCTGTGTGGTATCCCTGGGGAAACCCCCTCCCCCCGCTAATAGCCCAGTACGGAAGGTGAATTCAAACTAACCCGGCCTTTTTCTGGCAAGCGGGGCATATGATGACGCCGTAGAGCGGGCCCTGTGTTGTCGGCGTACTGCAGTGGAAGCACTAAAATTTTCCCTTTATTGTCAAACCAATATGTAGCCCACGGGTCTCTGCTCTCTCTTGCCTCTGATCTTCATGACGAATCGCCTGAACGGCCCGTCTCGGTTCTGTAAATGATTTAATATTTTTGACGCAAAATCAATTTTTTGGGCTGCGGAGATTACATTTCGTAATGCTTTCCGTTTTTCGATTCTCCTGATCGGCTCGTCAATTTTGATAATTAAGAGAGCGAGCATGATTAACATCGTCAGAGGACTGCAGAAATCACGCCAGGATTTGCGAATTCTTGCCATCTTGCAATCTTTCAGGCCGCAGCAGAAGCTCAAGAACATATTTTTGCGTTGCAGCAGTCATTAGCTATCTGCGGGGGGAGGGAGGGGTGATGGACCAGACTTTTTAATCCCTTTAAAGGGCTGCCGACGGCATGTGTCGATCCCCCCCATCAACAAATTGGCAAGTAGCCAACAGGGCAGAGAGCGCGCCCAGGGGAGAGGCGCAGAGACATTTTCTTTCCAGCGCGTCACCGATTACTTATGCCGTCGTTATCCCTTTAAAGAGTTACCTCATCGCGGTCCAGCGGTACGGCCATCTCGATGGGGAGGAGGAGAGATATAATGGAGGCATCTTCCTGAAATCGGTGCCATTCTTGCGAACATGCTAATATGGGCAACCTGCTAATATGCTAATAAATGCTAATATGCAGTCGGCAGCCTTTAAATAAAACAAGTGAGGGGCCCTCTCCCGGCAGGCCACGCCCCCTTTCCCCCGCCCCCCTCTTCACCAGATCCCAGCTAGCTTTAGTTCCGTTGTTTTAATACTTTTTAATCATATTAATTGATTATTTAAATCCTTTAAAGTATCTAAAGCCATCAGGAAGGGAGGGGGCGGGAGCGGAGGGGGTAGCCCGAAGTCCAGCCGCTGGTTTTTATGAATAAGTTAATTTGTTCCCCCATAATCGATTACGCGGCGAAATTCAATCAAAAATTTCCGGTTCTTTCACATTATCGGGGGGGGGAATTTTTAATTAACTTAATTAATTTTAAATGAACAACATCATTAAAATGATCACATATATTCTAAAAAATAATAATAAATTTAATTAATTAACTTAACTAATTTTATTTGCGTAAATTCCGAGTTACGATCAAGCAGAGAAAAACCGAGATAAGCGAAGAAAAAAACTGACGAGGATGCGGTCCTCATAAGCAGCAACACAAGTTGGCGGCGATAGACGCCCATTCTCGGCTACGGCCATCGACATCACCAGCTGCTCATGCGAGAAGACACAAGGCTCACGGTTCGTCGTTCACAAGTTTCTTGGTTCACCAGAAGCTAACGGCCCTCCTATTTTCGTAGTTCGTACTCTCAAAAAATATTAGCGTCAAAAATGCTTTTGACTCTCTCGCATTATCGGGCATGACCTAAAAGTCGAAAGCCAAACACCGAAAAATATAAAAATTTGTCGTTTTTTACTATTCGGAATAGCAAAAAGCGGTTTAGAAACACTTGCGCTAATTATGTTTGAAAAATTGGATCCTAAGCAAAGGAGCAGCCCATCACCTGCTTTCTCCATTGGAAGTTGGCGGCCGGAATGGAACCACCGACCAAAAACTTGTGCAGCGAGAGCCTTACCTCTCAGCCACGCTGCCATGCCGGAGGTGTGCCAGAGGTGCATCTTCTCCGCACGCCACGCAAATCGGCGCGCACATATCCCTTCAAAAATCATGCATTTTTGCCAAAAGTAAACGTGGTATATATCCGCCGTTTGCTGAAATTTTTAGCGCATTGGAATCGCAAGCTCATACTCTCTAAGTTCACCAATTTGCAAGTCGAAACTAGGTGGTACGTTGGAACACATCCCCAGTTGGCCACACAGTTCCGGGCGGGCATTGTAGGGATCAAAAAACCTCCATTTTTCGCCCTTTTCAACCTAAAATTGTCAAATTGCAAAAGTTGAACGCGTATAAATTGACCATATCTTCATTTTTCAAATCTCGATTATAAAAAACAACAAGAAGACGGAAAGTTATAACAAAAACGAGTGGACGGAAATTGGTATGTAATGAATTAAAGAAGGGAGAGCTAGCAGGGGACTAGAGAATGAGAGATGGGGACAGAAATTGAGGAAAAAAAAGACCGAATGACAATCAAGAAAAATGGACACTAAAGAGTGGACATTGTTGTGATATTGATCAAGGCGTCGATCGGCAAAATCAAGCTTACGGCGCGCGTTTGATCCACGAAAATTAGAGCCCAAATTCCGCCGTAAACCTCGGTTTGCCAATCAAAAAGGGGGCGTGAGAACTAGAAACGAGGAGAGAAGGATAAGCTAGACAAATGGAGGGAATGCAGATCAAAAAGACACCCAGGATGACAAAAAGACAAGAAAGAGGGGAAAAGCAAGTACAATCAAAACGAAAGAATGGCCATAATGATGATGTGAGCAATTTGAAATATCCTATCGGTTTCGCGGGGGGGCTTCTTCTCGCCTTCTCCTCTTCATTTCTTCTGATTTTTGATGAGCTGCGCGACGTATTTGAATCGTTTGATGCAGTCCTTCTTCGTGCGGCCCGGAACCTCGGTGGCTACCTCAAAAAAACGGATGAAATATGCGCGACGAACTAGCGGAGACGCTTTTACACTACAATCTTGTGAAGCCAAGCTCAAAACCTCTTTGGCAGGCCAGCCTTAGCCCTCTAGAAAACGGATCTGCAGCCAAAAAAAAACGCATTTCGGGAGGGCACACTAGCAGAGGCCAACGGAGAAACCCGATCACCATGGGCGGGGGGCCAAAAGGCCGTGGCAAGTCAGCAGAGTCCATTTGAAAAGCAAAAAAAATCGGCAAACCTTTTCCCATCGTTCAGGATCGCTGGCCGGATATTTCTTCAGCGCCGCCTCCAACGCGCTGTGCTCCTTCGCGCTCCAGTTTTCCTAAAATTTGGAGACCTTGAAAATCCTAATTTCCCGTACCTCATCGGGCAACGGGGCGCCGAGTTTGTTCTGCGAGGCGGCCGTCGGCTTCGCCTGTCCCGTTTGCACCAGTTTTGTCTAAACAATCAATACAAAATCGAGGTTGTATTGGATACCTGTTTGATGACCTGTTTCTCGGTCTTTTTGGGTGTTGTCTGCCCCTTTCGGTGTTCATTCACGTAGTCGGCGATCACGATCCAACGGTCGATCGTGCCGGCCGGGTACAAATTGGCTGCCTGCAAAAATCAAGGTTAAAATAATAATAAACAGTGCCTTTAATTCGAAAAGAATTTGAGCCCAAGAATTTCAAGCTATTTTTAAGAATAAAAATTTACCTTCGTAAGAAGAAGGATTTCCTCGTCGGTCCACAGCACAATCTCCGCCTCTTTCGTCGTCGTGTTCTCCTTGTTGGCCCTGCTGGCCGTCTCGGCGGCGGTGCGCGCACGGTTCTTTTCGTCCTGAAAAAAGTAGATCACCAAAATAACACAGTAGTCTATGCTCCAAACTACAACCGACACCC